ATTAACAGTCTAGGCTTTTCTCATCTCATATTAAGAGTGAGACCATCCACTAGTACCACCTCTTTTCAACGTTACGAAGATGAACCTACAGAAATAAGATCAGAAAAAATAATAAAATATAAAGCACACCATGCTGTGAGAGGTGGGTGTCATCTGCGTAACAGGTTATTTGTGAGGCTTCCTGTGATCTTGATGCCACACTCTTCATCGAGTCCAGCTTCTCAAATGACATGGTCATTGTACAGACTGAATAGGTAAGGAGAGGACATAATGCTGACGCACACCTTTCCTAATTTTAAACCGTGCAGTGTTCCCTTGGTCTGTTCACACAACAGCCTCTGGGTCTACGTCTAGGTCTCACGTTAGCACCTGTGCCCATGCTTTGTACCACTGCCCACATGTAAATACGGAAATGGGGCTAGTGGAACGGAGAAACTGACTTTAAAAAACACTTAAAACTAAAAGCAAACCCACTCTTCTGAATATAGTTGCCCAACGTATTACCAAATTTTAGAGGAGATTCTTAACATTTTAGAACAAGTACGGTTTGGCAAACTTCCTCTTGCTCTCACCAGCTCGCTGTAACTTCTTTCTTCCACAGCTAAGCATTAAAAAACTCATCCTCGTTTTCCAAATAACCTTGAAGGACTTCTGGGACTGGACTAATTTTTAAGAGAAAGGCTTCTTATACTTGTGACTGTAAATAAATGAATTAATAAACTTTAACAAGCTGGAGCTGGAGCATAGGTCTATACATGTTGTTGTCACGTATGAAAGTACGCTTAGGATTAATGCTTCTTCAAGCATTAGGTAGAGGCTTTGGTCAGCCATTTGTTCTCAAGAAAAATACCTGTCACTTGTTCGTAAGTCTTTCTAAGATTCAGAAAACATTTCAACTTAAACAAAAGCAACACCAGGATCTGAGTGGGGTCCTTAACCCCATTCAATTTAAATTTTCTAGAGGTTTCTCCCAAAGATGATTCATCACACTTAGATATCTGCCACTATAATTAATAGTTCTCCATTGTTCTTTCCACTTTAAACTTAGTGATAAAATTTCATTACTAGATAAGCCCATTTTTATTCTGATACAGCTAAGTAATTACCAACTTCATAACAAAGTGGTTATTTGGGGTCAGAATGATGATGAATTCTCAGCTTTCACTGCAGAATAGTTAATAATCTCTGCAAAGAGGGCTAACTCAACGTTCAGGGAAATCGATTCAAGTCCTCCTCGAGTTACACTTGGGAAGTTTGGGTTATTTTCTGTTTTGCCTGAGTATGACACCATTTCTGAAACCCTAAAGGTTTCAAAGGTTGTCTGCTTTTTTGTAATTGTTTACACAGTGTTGTTGTGCCATCAAGTCGCTTGTGACTCATAGCTATGAGACCTGTGTATAACAGCTCTGAACCCTACTCTGTCCTGAGCCAAGTTCATCATCTCTGACATCCTACCCCCACCACCCCGGTCACTGAGTCAATCCATCTTACAAGAAGGGTCTCCCTTCTTGTACTGTCCCTCCACCTTTCCAAGAATGATGTCCAAAGGACTGGTTCCTCCTTGCAACACGGCAAAGTACGTCAGACGAACTTCAGAATCCTTGCCTCCAAGGAGAAGTCTGGTTTTACCTCTCCACGACAAAACTGCTCGTTCTCCTGTCAGTCCAGGGTACATTCAATACTCTTCTCCAGCACCACAAAAGCATCAACTCTCCTGCTATCCTCTGTAGTCATTGTCCAGCTCTCTGATGCATAACAAGTGATTGACAAGACCATGGCCTGGATCAGGTGCACCTTGGTCTCAAGATTGGCATTGTTTTTCTTCAGTGCTCTGGAGAGGTAGATTTTCCCAATGCAATTCATCTTTTGATGTCCTGGTTGATGGTACCAAGAATGTTGATTGTAGAGCCAAGCAAACTAAAGCTGTGCACAATCTCTTCATTGCATCTATCATGATGCTGCCAATTTGTCCTGTGGTGAGAATCTTTGTTTTCTTGACATTGAGCTTCAATCTATATTGAGGGATGCAGTCCTTGAACTTCTGCAGAAAATGCCTCAGGCCCTCCTTAGTTTTGGCAAGCAAGGTTGTGTCAACTGCATAAGGCAGGTTGTTGATAAATCTACCTCCAATCCTAATGCCACATTCCTCCTCATAGAGCCCAGCCTCCTGGATGATCTGTTTTGCATATAGATTAAAAAGGTATGGGGACAGGATGCATCCCTGGTGGACACCTTTCCTGATTTTGAACTATGCAGTGTTCCCTTGCTCTGTTCTGATGACTGCCTCCTGATCCAAGAATAGGCTTCGCATAAGCACAATTAAGTGTTCTGGGATACCCATTCTTCTCCGAGTTAGACACCATTTCTTGTGATCCACACAGTCAAATGCCTTTACACACTAGTGGTAATTATTTAAAAGAAGGGAAAATCCAATTACAGCAAAGAAGAAGATTCTGCTTTTCTCTGCCTCAGTTTCCCATCTTATGCGGCAAGCACAGATGCCTGTCAAAAGTGTCCTCGTTTTTTGCTAAACGTAATCCAGAAATGTAAGTAGTGGGCTTACTCAATTACTCTTACTCAAGTGACACAATGGAATGCCTCCTGGGAATCACGCAATCTTAAAATATGGCTATTATACATGTTCATAATAACAATAAAAATTAATAATAACGTGGAATGTGAAGAGAGAAGTAGGAGTGCAACCAAAAGTCAATGGGAAACTCAATCTCGATCTTCTCAAAGCAGAGAAAGGTGTGAGGAAAGGCAAGATTTCCCCAAGGGACAGCTTGGGAAGGCCCCGCTTAGCTCCTGGAACCTCAGGGGTATTGCACGGTCCAGGGCACAAAGGAGACAGCCAGTGAAGCAGCTTGCCCCTCTGGGCTCATAGCCACGATTTTGTTTATAGTTTGTTTTGGGAGGTTCGGAAAGAGATGTGATGGGGGGGGGGGTGACAGGGACACTGGATGTCTCCTGGCTTCCGAAGCCCCGTGAAGAAGCCACACGTGAGTAACGGACAGTGAACTCAAAGGACAAAGCAGACGAGGAGCTGCTGGGAACAGGTCTAAGCTGGACACATGTCCCTCACTTGGGAAACATCTGAGTAAGAACAAGGATCATCACTCTTGGGGTAATTCCAGTTCACACGCTCTGTTTACCACTGGGCCAGCAGATTGCATCAGCATAGATGGAGAGGAGTTTGAAGTTGTCAGTGATTTCATCTTGCTTGGATCCACAGTCAACATCCTTGGTACCAACAAGCTGGAAACCAAAGCGCATATCCCACTGGGAAAATCTGCTATCAGGGACCTCTCTACAGCATACTAAAGAGCAATTATGTCCACTTAAAGACTAAGGTGTGCCTGACCCAAACCATGATCTTCTCAATTGCTTGCTATATATCTCAAAGCTGGACAATGACTAAAAATGATAGAACAAGAACTGATGCTTTTGAATTGTGGTACTGGAGAAGAGTACTGAACAAACATACTACGGATTTCCAAAAGAACAAACATGTCTATCTTAGAGAGAGTGAAACTGAAATGCTCCTTGGAAGCAAGGATGGGGAAACTTTGTGTCATAACTTCTGGGCATGAGTTTAGGAGGAGCATTCCCTGGAGAAGGACATCGAGCTGGGAAAGATGAAGGGTCAGTGAGGGAGAGGAAGTTCCCCGACGAGATGGACGGACAGCAGGAGTGCAGTAATGGGGGGAGGGATGGGGAGGCTGGCACAGGACAGGTTCAGAGCCCTGTTCACGGGGCCATCAGTAGTCCATGGGTGACACACCAACACCACCACTCAGAGGTAAAGAGGGCTTTCACTTTACCCCCTTCAAAAGGAAGGAGAGACTGCAGCTGCCACATCGCTTGTCTTTCAAAGCTCAGAACTACTTACCTTGATTTGCATACAATAATTACTTAGCTAATTAAAATGGTTCCCAGCTGGTCCTTTCAACTCTAATAAGCTGAAATTATAAAAGATCCCTCTTCAAAAGAAAGGAAATCTCCAAATGGGATCTAACTGTTCACAACAGAAGACAGTGAATACAACTTTTCACAAGGCCCCTAGACAGCGTCTGTGAAAATGAAGGAGAAAGGCCTTTTGTGTATGAGATCGGAGCAGCTGAGAACTCTGAGATGCACGCATCACTGAAAACTCAGTGTTTCAAAAAAGTTAAGTGTATCCCTAATGTCAACATCATGAATAAAAATCCCTAAATGACACAAGAATAAAAAAAGAAACCAAAGCTGTGCATTTCCGCAGCGGGAGAGAAGAAAGCGCTGTACAGCTGTCTGTCGTTCGGTCCCTCGAGTGACTAGACGCCCAGCGGCCCCACGAACTGATGTGAACGGGGCCCTGTCCTGCGCCATCTCCACTACCTTCCACTACCTCAGATGTTCTCGAGGCCACTGTTACGGTCACTTATATCCACCTTGTAAAGGAACCTTCTCTGAACTTGTGTCTTTTGAAGCATGATGTCTTCGTCCAGCACTGACCCCTCCTGACAACATGCCCAAGCGGGTGAGACAAAGTTTCCCCACCCTCACCTCCAGGGGGCACCCTGGTTCCACGTCCTCCCAGACAGACTTGTCTGTTCTTTGACAGTTCATGGAATATTCACAAATCTTCTCTAGCACCACAACCCAAAGGCATAGATTCTCCGCCAAGGGCAATATTAAGAGTTACAAATGTCCTATTTAATAAGCTAGCAGAATATATTAAAATTTAAGCCTAATACAATACATTAAGAATCTTCCCTCTGGCTCAGGAAAAGGAGTCCAGTCAGCTACTTAATCTATGAATAAAGAGAATTAAGCAAACAATTAAGTTAATGGAATATTATGACATTTCAAATCCAAAAGCCCTTTTGTCCTGGCCACGTGATGACGCCATGTGAAAGCGGTCAGGTGAGTGGATGGAGTGAGTGACCATGAAACCCACCCAAACACGGCGGGCCGGCGGGCAGTGGCCGAGGTGCCCTCAAGGCCAGGCGTCCACTCACCAGATGTCCGACTTGGTGTCGTAGCCTTGATGCTTCAGCACCTCGGGACTCATGTAGTGAGGCGTGCCCGCCAAGGTGGTGGCCAGGTCACAGGATCCCATGAGAAGTCGAGAAACTCCAAAATCCCCTGCAAAGAATGATTCACGTATTTGAGAACCTGGCAGCAGCAGCAGCAAGCGCTGGGCACGAGTGAGCATCGAACCGAGCCTCCTAGATACATCACGAGTCACACCCTTTCTCAGGAAAACAAGGGACAAAGACTATAAACTACACAACGGCGATCCACGCCTTGGACGCTACAGACGTGGAGGGTGAGGAGGGCTGTGAGGCAGGCAAGTGAGTTAGGGGGCAATCGTCGGAATGATGGAGGTCTACGAGAAGGCCAGACCAAAAGCCACTTCCACGCAGAGTAGTAACAGCACACAGAACGATTTGGAAAGACTGACTCGAGCAGTGTGGCTGTGCTTAGAGGAGATTGTTCTCAGTTACAACAAAGCTTTAAAAAGAAAATGCCTGAGATGTCAAGAACACAGCTGTGGAAATGGAGCCCCACCAGCCTCCCTCCTCATGTCCAGTCATGTACCGTTTCTTGCCTTAACCGCCTGAGACCATCTTACGTGAAGATGAATCCGGCTAGTGACAGTGTGATGACTGGGGTTACAGCTCGAAAGCAGAGCCGCGCTGGCATCAGGGACGACTGTGAGGGGCCTGGTGGTGCAGCAGTAAGGCGCTCAGCTGCTGAGAGCCTGGTGGCCTGTCGGAACCCACCCGATGCTCTGCAGGGGACACGTGAGCCCACCTGGCAGGGCACACGTCAGCCCACCCAGCAGGGGGACACGTGAACCCACCTGGCGGGGCACACGTCAGCCCACCCAGCGGGGGACACGTGAACCCACTGGCGCTCTGCGGGGGACACGTGAACCCACCCGATGCTCTGTTGGGGACACGTGAACCCACCTGGCGGGGCACATGTCAGCCCACCCAGCAGGGGGACACGTGAACCCACCCGATGCTCTGCGGGGGACACGTGAACCCACCTGGCGGGGCACATGTCAGCCCACCCGGCAGGGGACGTGTGAACCCACCGGTGCTCTGCAGGGGACACTTGAATCACCTGCTCCCGTGAACATCTCTGACCCACAGGACCTGCTCCACCATCAGGGCTATGTGCGAACTGCCTGAGGCTGTGACAAGAGAAGCAAGAAGCCCACGGCAACGAGGGAGGCCAGTAACCAGCCCGGCCATCTGAAGAGGCCTCAGCACACAAGTGGAAAGTCAGAAATGCTGTTGAGTGCAATGTGGAATGAACGGTGAGCAGACATGTGGCAGACTGTTAAGAACAGTCTGAAACACAGACGCCTGCTAGACTGACTGGGCGCGGGGAAGCTAAAGAAAGTGTGTCTGACACACAGACAGAATCCTGGAGAGTCGACAGGGATGGGAGGGAGGGAGGAAGGAGGAGCAGACGAGGGGAGGGAGGAAGGAAAGGGGGACAGCCAGGATTTGACCAGATGGTACAATCAATAGCACTGATCAACTGTGAATGATGTCATAAAACAAAAATGTGCATGAACGATTGAATGAAAACCAATTAAAAATGTGCTGAACGGGTAAGTTCACCTCAAACCCACCCAATGTACAGCAGCTGTGTTCTCCCTCAGTTTATACCAGATAATCAGGAACAAAGGAATTGGGGAGGGGGGGTTTCAGGCTTGACTTTTCTCCCTCGATTTACACCAGATAATCAGGTACAAAGTAGCTAGGTTTTTAATTAGACTTAACCTTGTAAGAACAAACACCTGACAAGGTGAAATCAAGTACTCAAGTTCATCTAGGTGCCGTCTACTTCAACTTGACATGTTGGTAACACTTAGAAGACACTCTTCAATGTGGATGCAACAGATCACAGGGGAAGGGGACAGCCAAAACTTACCAATTTTAATCAGGTTATTTTTCAGAAATATATTCTTTGATTTTAAGTCTCGATGGAGCAGTCGCCTGCAAAAGGGGAAAAAAAAACCACAAAAACCCAACTAATTAAATAGATCTACATTTTCATGCAAAATATGAGCATTTTAAACCCAAGCATAAACCAACTCCTCACGTACTATGTCATGATATAAATGTGGACGACAGGTCAAAGAGCAACCCCCACAGCTACCATCCATTGTTTTACACACTGACAAGAAGTTGAGGCAAAGGAGTGAGGGGAGCAGAGGGGCGAGGAGGAGACTGGGAAGGAGCAAGCCTGCACAGGCAGCCGTGTCAGCTCACGTTTCTCGGGTCTGCGCTGGTGGAGGATCCGGGGTGGGCATTTCAAGATGCACTTGGGGCATCCAAAGAGCATGACTGATAGGGTTAAGGGCACCGGGACCAAACCCAGGGCGGGACCTGGCTCTCAAACAGCACCAATTTTCCCATAGTGATCTGATCTCTGTGACCTCGCCATGTCACTAAGCGAGGGGCTGGCGTGACACGTGTGATTCTATGTACAGTAACGTCCACATAAATATGCACTGTCATGCCTCTCTTCCTATCTCCTAATGTTTAGGACTTACAAAGTCATAGTGTTTCTTAGTTTCTCTGGGAAAATAGATGCGTAATAGGGCTTCAAAGGGAAGGAAACACGGAGTTTGAAAAGGGGCACTGTGCTTCTAACTACACCAGTGTGAGGGCTTATCACAGTTCTGCGGCATGACACACGCAGCACACACAGCTGCTTCCAGTTCTCATCAAACCGTATCATCCACTCTTACCCAAATGTCAAGTGTCTATGTAGAAATAATGTTGATGGTGACACTTAAGAACATAAAATGTGACGCATCTTACTATAAGTCAGGCTTATGGACTGTATGAGCTCTAACACTTTTAATTCTGAGATTATGGAAAACAATACAATTTGAAAGCTTTTGACCAAGAAACAAAATTTTCTGAACAAACAATACAAATAACACACCAAAATTCCTATCTCCTCAAGTTGTACAGGAAAATGCTAAAAAATTAAAACAATGTAAAATACATATTTTTTAAAAAATCCTGAAAACAACTCTGAATCTATCAGAGATGAATGTAGGTAATCCATGACAGAAGATCAAAGACCATAAGGCTTCCATATGGATTACATCCTAACATCAAGAAAACAAAAATCCTCCCCCCGGACCATTGGGCTATCGTGAGAGACAGGGGAAAGACTGAAGTCGTCAATGCTTTCAGTTTACCTGTCTGCACAATCAACACCCGTGGTGACAGCAATCAAGAAACTGAAAGCCATGTTGCACTGGGGCCATCTGCTCTGTCAAAGGCCTCTCCAAAGTGCTAAAGAGCAAGGATGCCAGCCTAAAGACTAAGATGTGCCTGGTCCCAGTCGTGGTCATTTTGACTGAAGGCTGGACAATGACGGAGAAGACTGAAGAGCTGCTCCTCTGGAACTGTAACGTTGGAGAAGAGGACCAAACGCAGGGTCTGTCAAAATCACACGTGTCCTGGAGGGAAGAGCCCCTGGGAGGCAAGGACGGTGAAACTATCACACACTGTGTGTGTGTCGTCCGGAGGGACCAGTCCTTGGGAAAGGACATCCTGCTGGGAAAGGAGGAGGGTCTGAGGAAGAGAGGAAGCCTCTCAACCAGACGGACCGACACAGCAGTAACTACGGGCTGAAGAGCGTATCACAGGCGGTGAGGACGTGCAGGGCCAAGCAAGGCTCCATATCTGAACCTTGTTCATTGGGTTGCCGTGAGTCCCAGTCAACTCGATGGCACCTAACACACAACAACAAAGACAGAAATCTACAAGGATGGAACATGCGCTGAGTCCCCGTCTCAGGGCATCTGGTTGAGAGCAGCGAGTAACAGAAGAATGTCTATCTGTGTTTCACTGATTATGCAAAGGCATTTGACTGTGTGGATCACAACAAACTGTGGTTAACCTTGAAGAGAATGGGAATCCCAGAACACTTGATGGTGCTTATCCAAAACCTATACTTGGACCAGGAAGCAGTCCTCAGAAGCAAGAAAACGCTGCATGGTTCAAAATCAAGAAGGGAGAATGTCAGGGATGCATTCTGTCTCCAGTCCTTTTCAATCTATATGCAGACAGATCATTTGGGATCCTGGGCTCTATCAGGAGGAATATGGCAACAGGATCAGAGGAAGACTCATCAACAACCTGCACTATGCAGACGACACAGCGTTGCTCGCTGAAACTGAGGCAGACTTGAAGCACTTGCTGCAGAAGGTCAAGGACTGTAGTCTTCACTATGGATTGAAGCTCAACATCAAGAAGACAAAGATTCTCACCACCAGGCCAACTGACAGCACCATAATGGATGGAAAAGAAACTGAGGTTGTTAACAGTTACAGCTTGCTCAGCTCCACAATCAACACTCTCGGCACCAGCAGTCAGGAAATGAAAAGGTGAACTGCATTAAGAAAATCTGCTGTCAGGGACCTTTCCAGATTACTGGGAAGGAACGATGTCAGTCTAGAGACTAAGGTACAACTGATCCAGTCCGTGGTCTTTGCAATTACTTGGTATGTATCAGAGAGCTGGGCATTGACTAAGGATGACAGAAGACGAATTGATGCCTTTGAGTTGTGATGCTGGAGAAGAGTCTGGAACATACAATAGGCTGCCAAGAAAACAAACAGGTCTGTCCTAGAGAGGGTGAAACCAATTTTCTCCTCAGAGGTTAGGATTTTGAAGTCCTGTCTCACATACATTGGGCACTTGGCCAGGAGAGATCAGCCCTTGGAGAAGGACATCATGATTGGAAGGGTGGAGGGACAGCGCAGGAGAGGGAGACCCCGAATGAGATGGATGGATAAAGTAACTGGGGTAATGAGGGCAGGTGGTCAGAGTCAGTGAGGCTGGCTCAGGACCGGGCAGGCTTCAGAGCTGTTGTGCACAGGGTCACTATGAGTCTCAGGCAACGTGACAGCACATAACAATGAAAAGGCTGAGTAAAACGTGATGGGCCATTTCCCCCCTGTCAGCTCTCTTGCTTTCATCTCTGCTGTGAAAACCGTGTCCCAGACAGGAGCTGCTAGTTCAGTGTGTACTGAGCAGACGCACAGCAGTCCTACAACCACCAGTGTGAAGAGCGCATGAGCGAGGGATTACCCCGTGAGCCTGGAGGCTGGGCTTCCACAAAAGGACGGTCCTGACGCTGCAGGCCACTGGCGCACTGGCTGCTCTCCGCCAGCACTGACTCACGGCCTCTGAGGCTGTGGTAAATAGTAACAGCAGGACACGCCATCTTCCTCCTTGTAGGTGCGGCCGGATTAGGACCACTGGAGACACACAGTCTTGTCATCTGCAGCACAAGGAAAATTCTCAGCTTTTAACATCACTGCTTGTGCTTGTCCTTCTGTTGTTGTTGTGTGCTGTTGAGCTGGAACCGACCCCTAGCTGACCCTCAGTGGGTTTCCGAGGCAGTAAATCATACATGAGGAGGCTGCCCATCCTTCTCCCACGGAGCAGCTGGGATTCAAATCGCATGCCTGTTAACACTGCAGCACAGCTTCTTACCTCCAGGCCACAGAGCTCCCTAGAGGCTGCCACAGGAGGAGAAGGCCCGTCTTTCTCCCTCAGGCCCTCTGCGTGGCAGGGGGTCAGCAGTACGACTCCCAACATTAACAGGAAGACCTGGCCACTGTCAACATTCCACAGTGCAATCATCACACTTGCAGCTGCTTTTCTACATATATTTCAGAAACAGTAATAAACATTTACATTATTTATTGGCCATATGTTCCTATAAAGGGTTAGGTTAAATTCATTTATTTTAACTATTCATCAAGTGATGAAGATTGCACTGGAGCATAGAGAAGCCAAAGCACAAGGAAGAATTCAAGATACTAAAGAGCTGAACAAAAGATTCCAAAAGGCAGCTGGGAATGACAAAGCAAAATACTACAATGAAATGTGTGAGGAGCTAGAGTCGGAAAATCAAAAGGGCTGAACTCGTTCAGCATTTCTTAAACTCAAGGAACTGAAGAACAAATTCAAACC